TCTAAAATCTGCTGCAGTATGACACAGAAGAGGTTGTCCTCTCAGGCCCAGGACTGTATCCCCTGATGTCTCTTTTTAAACCAAAGAATCTTATAAATATTCATCCTTCTTTAACTGTGACTGATTAACAGGAAGTTAATGGCCACAGTTGGCAGATGTGTGAATTTGTATGAACTCAAATTGGACACAAATAAGAAGACTGGACCAACTTGAGGCCTCCCCTCCTCAGGTCTGACAGGATGTACAAGGTGACAAAACCTGAAGTCAGTAATTGTTTCCCTGAGGGAACACTGACCTAAAAGTTTGAGATTTCCCGACATGCGCACCTTCATTAAACATAACACGCCATTACAGTATTCAAAGTAGAATTAGAAAGGCGGATCGTCTCATTCCAAAACCTCCTACTGCCACACAGACTCCTGCAAACATCCCTACAACCTTTCAAACCACAGCTTCAGTCTTTTCAGGCGGTGTCGGTGATATCTCTGAACGCAGACACAGCTCTCTCCGATGTGATACAGACTGAGGCCGGTCTTTTAGAAATAGCGAGACAGCGGGGGCCTGTGGGGGTGTCAGATGTCGACGGGGACCAGTTGCCGGAGTCTCGGGCCTGGGCTGCCTCTCATTGCTTCACAGCAGCTGCGTCTTCTCAGACCTCACATTCCTGCAGGACAGGCCCACTTTACTCTCATCACCTGTGCTGATCTGAGGGCCGGGGCGAGCTCTCAGGGGGGAACCTCACAGCTCCTTGAATTAAAGTCATTTCCTTTATCTTTTTGCAGTCGTGAAAGGATACAGGGATCTTAAAAAGTACAGCTTTACTAAAGGTGTCCTAACTTATAGGACAGAAAGTTGGACACAGAGAAGCAGTACGATAGGAAGTTATTCAGCTCTAACAATCACAGAAAACCTGGGACACAAATACAGCGATGGGACCATGAATGCATCGTCCAGCATGCTCCCAATCTCCTTCTCCTTACTCTATAATAATAAAAGCATTAGATAATAAACAAGGTACTGTAACTATAAACCTCACCATTAAGCAGTAAAACACAATGTAGGATACAATACAAATCTTAAAAAGGTACAATAAAGGCTCCTTGCACAGAATCTGGTGTTGTTGAGTTTTCCTGAAGTCGATTCTCTGTCCACTGAGGCCGAGATGTACACCCATGATTCAGCAGCTTCTTTACCCCATTAGACCTCCCCGTACAATTACAGCTGCTTTGCAGTCTTCATTGCCCTCGCTGCATTATAAGCTGTACTGTCTGACCTCCACTAAATAATACATGTGAACATTTACCCCACCCTACTGCAGCCAAACGCTCAAAAAAACCGCACACAACTTCTCCCGAATCCTTAAACAACATTTATGTTTAAAATGAATTACTGATGTCTGTTCTGGACACTGGGTTTCCTTTCATTTATGCTGCATCATCCTATATGAATTCTCAGCTTTTTAGATGCCTTGTTTCTTTTAATGTAGAACATCAATCTGCCCATGAACTACACACTAAAATCTGACACGTTTACATCCTATAAATGCTTCTTAGTGTGTCATCCCTCACAAATAAATGAATAAAATTAAGTAAAACCAAGGATTCTTTTTTTTTTTACAGGGCTGTGGTCCTTCAGTGTCACATTTCATAAGGATAATATTGGTGGCTTTAGAAGTAGAATAAGCAGTCTGTAGCTGCACTGTGAAATGTCAATGAGCAGCAACTTTTTACACACACACACACACACACACACATACCTCTGATTGTCACTATTCATTCAACAAAAGCACCACACACACACACACACACCTTTTAAAAGCATGGCAACTGGAAACAAAAAACTCATCTTGCAACTTTCTTGATTCACTGCTGCTTCCAGTCCAAAAAAGCTCCCTCTTCCCAGAGTGCAGCAGACCACAGACACCACAGGGTCCAACAAACCCAAACATCACTCACACACACACACACACACACACACACACACACACCACACAACACACACACACAAATTACACGCGTACACTTACCTCCAGACGTGCACGCCTGAAGTAAAGTGGGACTCAAGTTTGTCGTCTGTTTCCTAGAGTGGGCATGCAGATGCCACACAGCACACTCCACACAACTCAACAACACTCTTCTTCTCTCTCTCTCTCGTCTCCTATCACACACACACACTCCTCTCTCCATCTCTCTCTTTCTCTCTTCTCTATCTATCACAACACACACACCTTGTAGCCAGACAAAATGCCTAAGTCTCTATTTAATTCCTTGCATTCCCACTGATTTAATTTTGTTTCGCTCCTTTCTGTTCCGCCGCTCGCCTCCGGACAACTCCTCCGAAATTCAAGTCCTGGCGCAGAATATTTGCGCATTTATATTTCTTTTTTATCGTGCGTGTTTCGCCGTTTGAATGTAATTAATATAATAAAAACAGCAGTCCTTCGCAGCTCGGTGAACGGCCTGAAAAACTTCCCTTACTTTGCCTTGCTAATCAGTGCGGCAAACCGCTGTGGGACGCCGCATCCGGGGCGGCGTCTACGCTGCTCATGGGCGGGGACATAGCCAGAGAAGGGGCGAGGCCCACTCTGGG